AACACGAATACCATGGCCGGGTCTACGGCAGTGATAGCACACATTCTGACCAGCTAGGCACTCCCCACGGTGATTACGGTCGCAGGTAGCGCATGGTGGTACAACCTGACGGATAGGCTGCACAGCCTGAGCTGGTGCTGGTGCTGGGCCTCTCGGTCCGTTCCTACGATCATTACGACCCTTCCACTTCCTTTTGTTGGGTCGCTGTGCCTGCTGAGGCTGTGCCAGCTGAGGTGGCGCTATCTGTGGTGGGGCTGGCTGAACTGGTAAGGCCAATGGCTGGACTGGCTGCCTGACTGGGGCACGGAACCGGCTGGCCTCCACTACTATACTCTCGGCCATATGCTGGGCCCGAGAGACTGTCTCAGCATATGTCATGAGGCCCATGGCACTGATGGTGTGACGGATCTCTCCCCGTAGGCCCGCCCGGAATCGCTTAGTCCTCTTCGCCTCCGTGTCAACGAGGTTTGGCATGAAGAAGGCGAGGCGAGAGAACTCGAGCTCGTACTCGTCAACAGTCCGACCGCCCTGCTCCAGACTCAGGAACTGTCTCTTCATCCTCTCAACGTAGTGATCCGGGTAATACTTCTCTCGGACTACCTCCTTCGCACTCTGCCACGCGAGATTAGTCTTCTCTCCAGGCCTCATGGCCCAGTAGGCATTCCACCAAAGTCCCGCATCCCCTGTCAATTGAAGCTGAGCACACATGACCTTGACTGGCTCGAGGCAACCCATGACCTCGAAGATAAAATCAAGGTTGCGCACCCATTCCTCAACTTGTCGAGGATCTCCCTGTCCGTTGAAAGTCGCTGGGTCAAACCCGCGAAACTCTGCTACGCGCTGCCCCAGATCCCGCTCGGGAACTAATGGAGGGGCTGCGACAGGTGGGACTGGAGCATTCCTATTTCTGCAATTAGCCATCTGGATGGCCAGTTGACAGGTTTAGCATATAGGGGAGTTTGGTAGAAGAGATTAAATATTAACTTGATGATTTACAAATTTGTTAACGAGTCGTCGATAATAGACAACTTATCCGTCTATGGTTCTGAATCAAATAGGAGTTCTGACTTAGACTAGAGTTCTGAAACATAATTCTTTCTAGAGTTCTCCCTCTAGAGTTATCGGTCTTATAGGAGGATAGTTATCTAGGCCCCATACATGAATTTGAGTAAGCACATGCAAAAATAAAAGACTGGTTTAGGTAACTTACCTCGGAGGCAGCGCGAGCCTGAGCATGGTGTGGTAACTTTGACTGATTTTTGGTCTTCAGAAACGCTAACCGCGCTTTAATACCAAGCTGTAACACCCCGCCTACCATAACTTTGACTTACGAAAAAGTGGGTAAAGTTTTCGCGACTGTTTTCGAAATATACTTATACTGTTTTCGAAAAATGTTTAAACTTACTAACTTGCGGTATGCTACTTATTTACTGACTTACTTCTCTTTTTCTGTTACTTATGCACATGCCCAAATCAACATATAAGTTCCGACTGGGGAAAATACGGATAAGGGAAAATAAAGCGTGCATACATACTAGTCTGGGTTGGCAGTACGGAAGCGTAAAATAAAGTACAGTACAGTCTGAAATTATTTATACATGCCAACATAACATAAACATAAACAAATGTCCAGCTGACTTGGACACCACCACACCACCAAGCTCGGCTCACCCTCCGGGCTGCACTCCATCACCTAAAAAGATAATAGTGGGGGCGTGAGTACTCATCCACTGTACTCCGCAAGAACCAGCACTGAATAAACAACACGTATAATCGAATATCATAAACTTAGCATATACATAAATAAAACTGTATTGTACTGGTGCGGACTACCGGTGGCTGGCCGGTTCTCAGGTGATCACGTTCTGGGGTTCGCCTCTCCAGAAACCCAGAATGACTCTACTGAGAGTCAAAACTGTACTGGGCGAGTGACTCTACTGGGAGTCAACATAAACTGGACCGCGAACGGAATAACTGGACCGTTCGGGTAAAAGTTATCTACATACATACCTCATAAATGGTACAAGATTATAGGCAATGTAATACCCAGTGCAGGGCCCCCACCTGGTATACTAAAATAATCTGGCAAGTGCTGAAAATTGGGGTAGCTGTCGGAGGCTCGACTCTCCTTAAGCTACCAAAATATAAGCAAATATATCTAAGAAATTTGCTCGACTTATAAAAACTGATACTAAAACTTAGACAGTTAAGCAGGCAAAGCGGATATAGCATGAAAAGCATATAAAGCACATAGGTGCATGTGAACACTTAAAAGTCGAATGGATTTTCTCGGCTCGACTGGACTATAATAGGGTTTTCGGAAAAATTCTCACTTAGGCTCAAAAACCCACTTTTCTGTATTTTCTGGAGTGCCTCGAACCGGCCATTCTTGCCAGACTCCGGCGACTATTTCCGACCAACTCACATGCTAAATGAATGGTCACTTAAGTCCATGCATGTTCATTTAAATCATTTACTAGAATAAAATGATTGACTAAACCCTCTCGATTTTTATAAGATCGAATATAACTCTGAAAATTCTCAAACTTCACAGTAAAATAATTCACTTAACCATGTGCATGCTGTTAAAGTTTCATATCATTTACATATTAATAGCTTATCCAATTTAGCATCTCAAACTTAACATATGAAATGCACTTTACACTCATGTATTCAAATAATTTTATAAATTCGTAATCTTGTCTTCTGAAGCTCAAATTTGGTGACATTACTCACAACTCATAAAAGAAATTTCCCTTAAAATATCACATTAATCCCGCAAGTATTGGGGGAGTTCTAAAGCATCAAAATTCAACTTGACATGCATTAGGTCTAATACTTATAACTCACTCATCTCTTATGATAAAATCATAAAATTTTATATTCAGGCTCTTAGCTCATATATAAACATGTCCATAAAATTTCATAATTTTATCCTGAGTATAACTTGAGTTATTCGTGTTTGAAATCGAAACAGAATTTGCGCATGTAAAGTTCAACTTGCATGTCTAACTTTGAAAATCAATAACTCGAGTTATACTAGGCCAATTGACTTTATTCTTGATCCTATAATCTCCTATTTTCCACATGAAATAGCCATAAAATTCGAACCTTCCCAGAGTTTTCATAGCATAGGCAAAAACGTACGAAAACATAACATATAGAACAGGGAAAAAAAACTGGGAGCACTTAAATATTAAGCATGCTTTAAACTACTTCAAAACTGAACATATAAGGCTAACTTATATATCAATCAACTCATTATCTCATCTATTTTAAAATTTTAAAAAGATTTGAGCACACCATCCTCTACAATTCCAAGAAAAACGTGAGAGAACGTGAATATGCTGCTGCCGGCTTCCTCTTCTTGCTCTCGACTTTATGCTTGCTTCTTTCGAATTTTCTTGAACTTAAAGCCTTAAAACTCTTCTATGGTGAGTTTAGGATGAGGTAAGAAGGATATTATGCTGAGGGTATAAAGGTTTGATGCATAGAACTCGAAAATGAGTACAAGTATGCACTCGGGATTTTTGAGTTTGCTCTTGGTCTCTTGATTTTGCTCTCGGTTTTCGTAGTTTTGAGGGAGTATTTTGGGAACTTCTCTCATGAAAATGCTAAGTAATTATAGAGCATCAAATGAGGAGGATATGCAGCTGATAGAATGGCTTAAAAGGAGTCAAAGGGCGTGAGAAATTAGGGGACCATGGTGGAAGACAAGTGCTAATGGAAGCTAACTTCTAGGTGTAATGTGGGGGAATCATTTAGTTCACCAAGATGCTGTCATGCTCGGTTTTTGGGACTGAAAAGGGGCTGAGAATCTCTGGTTTTAGCACTAGGTAGTGGAGTGTACAACCTCTTATGTCTCACCCCGCCTTACTACTAGCTTTGAAAATCAGAGTAAAATTTTTGTTTTTATTTTCGAAAGAACGTGCGAGCTGGGTTTTCGAAAATACTGGCTTATTGCGGGATGTGGCAGATAAAAACATAAACTGAAACTTGGGCTTGCCCACAGACATAATAAAACATGCAACCAAACTGTCCGCTCGCGGATTATGGAATTATACATGCATAGTCTGTACTGTCTCGCACTGTCTAGAAAAACTCGCTGGCGGAAGCATCCGAAATACGAATACATAAACATGCATACATAAACTGAATAATATACATGATCATAAAACTAGGACAATTATTACTGTTTTGGGGCGTTACATCTTACACAAGAATAGAGTAATGGAGTACCCATGCTAGCCTTAATTAGTATAAACTAATGTTAATAATGGATTGACTTTGAGTAATCATACTTAGGCATAACCTTAGACTTTAAAATGCTCAATATATGTCTAACATATGAACATGGTCTCATGGTTCAGCAAAAGTGTTGGAGGTTTGAGCCTTGGCTCGATTCATGGGCTCGGGCGCGGCTTGCGCAAGACTAGGTGCGCGACCTTGGACGCTGCGTGTGCTAGACCATGCTCGGCATTCTCACGATTGCAACACTTGGACTTGGTACTTGTTATGATCCTCATTACTTCTAATGCATGATGGACAGCTCATGGATCATTAACATGCTAGATTAATCGATCTCGAGGTCATGGACACTCGGTGGTTCGGTGCATTGGCACGACGATCGCGTGGCTAGGGTGTACTAATGAATAATCTAGCATGCTTAAGTAATAATTGAGCACTTAAACACATAATATCACTCAAATTATGTAATAATTCACTTAAATCAAACAACTCAGAAATTTGAAAATTACCGGTTTCACTTTATAGTCGAGCAAGTGATGCCGTTCTAATATTATAATTGATCGGGGCGTTACAGGATGTCTATTGATTGTATATTTTTGTCTTATCTATGGTTGATATTCCGTTTATTTTTTGTGTGAAACTTTAAATTGAGTAATTGACGGATCAAAATGAAATACAAACCAATTCTCTAATTAGGTTTCCAAAATAGAAGATGGGCATGGTGGAGATCCATTGGGTTTTGTCCATGCTTGATGAACGGCAACGACAACATCAGCCGGGAGGAGCTCAACAATTCGCTAGAGAATCTCGGGATGTGCGTGCCGAAGGAGAAGCTACAGGCGATGATTGGGAAGATTGATGCTGACTTGGACATCCATTTGGACGCCGAGGAGTTCGGGCCCTGTATGCGGTGGTGTTGGCAGACGCCGGAGGAGACAAGGGGGATGACGGTGAAGATGACATGCAAGAGGCGTTTACGGTTTTTTCGATCGGGACAGGGCGGGTTCATCATGGAGAATGAGCTGAGGTCGTGACGGCGATGCTGAGGCTGAAGTAGGTGAAGATGCCAGAGGCGTACTGGCAACTTAGGTGGCGACGAGAGGCTCAACTTCGACAATTTTCGGCAGATGATGAAGTGCAGTGGGTTCGTCAGGGTAAATTTATTGTTTTGATGTGCAAATTGCAATTGCCATTTGGTTGGTGTAGATTTTCATTCTTGTCTTCATTTTTAATTAGGCTGAGAAATAATTTATATTTTTGATCTGAAAATTGCTGCTAGATGGGTTTCTGAGAGGACTAAGGGCAGAGATTTCGTGATAAAGTTGTTGGCCCCACAAAGAGCGTTGTTGGAACACGCGGCGGTGGCCGGATTTGTGACCCACTGCTGTCGGAGCTCCATCCTGGAGGCTGTGACGTGCGGGATGTCAATGATCGGGGTCGATCTATGAGAAGTGTTTCATGAAGAGTATGGATCTGCGTCTGGTTCTGTCTCGGCAGATGTTTACGGGACATGGTGGTCATTGCTGGATATCCTATCGTCTACGGGACTGGTTCTGTCTCAGCAGATGTTTACCAGAGTATGGATCCGCGTCTGAGCATCTTAATTCTATCGCTTTCATTCAGATTTTTGTATCCAAACAATGAGTTCTATTGCTTTTCAAAATTTAAATTATGCTGAAGAGTTTTTGTTTTTGGATGATGTATGTTATGTATTATATAACTCAGGCTCATGTTTTATTGAATGATTGAGACATCTAAGAGTTGCTGTTGAGAACATGTCTTCAAAATTGGATGGTCAAATAATTACATCTCTTTTTAGTTGCATTTTCTCCATCTACTGTCTGCCCATCTATCAAACTAGATTCTAACACTATACGGCAAATAAATAGTTATTTGGCTAACTATATATATCTCCCGTCGTGAGCCAATGGTTTTGCTCCTCTTTCATTTCACTTTTTGTTTAACGTTATTATTTTCTAAGTCAAATGTTTGACTTTATTCAAGAAACATTTTCCAAATCATACATGTTTATCTCAGGTGTAGGAAACTTGCGAGCATGAATGCCGCACGCTATGACCTTGCGTGTGCTGAGATGGATGAGAAGGTGGTCGAGCTTCACGATTGGAAATTCGCGGTCAGTGGACCTGTACTGCCCCGGAACCCGTGCATGGCTGCAGATGAAGAAGGGTGCATCATGGTCATAGCTCACTTATCAGGTAGTGCGTGATGATGATTAACTCAAACTTTTGAGAAGGGGAGAATGCAATGGTGTATTGTATTGCTATAGTTTATACATTGTTTTTTTCTTCGTAATCCAATTGCACCGCTTGATTAAAGATATAGAAGATAATGAAGAAGCTGAGCAAGTTCTTTGCAACCTAATTGAATAATTTTTTTCTCAGATTTTTGGAAATTAAGTTGTTTTTATTAACATTTGGCATCTCTTTTTCCTTCGAATTAATTTTGATTCTTGGGCCTGTTTTTGACATTTACTTGCTTGGAATCCTAATGAAAATAATGAGTTAATGTAGTATACTTAGAACAGGACAATATGTGAAGTTGCACGAGTTTTATAAGCCAGAATTTGATAATGACAAATAAATAATTAATAATAAAAAAACTTAAAATGGTATCAAAGTGTGTCTCAGAGAAGTTTGGTAGGGAGAATGTGGATCTCTGAACTCATTTTTTTAATTTTGGTACTTTATTCTTAAGTAAAACTGATAAAAATTGTTTTTTTGAAACTCACTACTAAAAAGAGTCCTACTATGNAAATGGTTTTTTGAAACTCACTACTAAAATGAGTCCTACTATGTGTTACTTGCTCAACAAAGAGAGTTTGTGGTGAAGGTATTAGGGTCGTTCATCATGGAGAACAGGATGGAACCTGGAACCCATTAATACACTATTATCAACAAAAAACTCAGCTCATATGTATGTCGGTCATCTAAAAGAGCTTGTTGTTGCTTTAGGATTTGATGGTTGGCAGGTAAGTAATGTATTTTTTTAGTTTGTAAAATCTACACATTAATAAGGTTAATTTAAAGAAATGAGGTTGAATTAATTGTTGCTTATAGTTGTACTTTATCTTGCTGATAGGGGAGATGAACATTTAATTACATAATTAAATGCAGTTTAACTTATTGCATGTGGTTTGGCTTTACAGAAGGGGCTTTGGCATCATAAGTGCAGTTGGTGGAAGGGGATTGTGTGGAGGTGGAGGAGGAAGGATATCATTAAACTCTCGGGTATCCCGCCTGCTCCTAGAGGAGTCGCGCAGATCACCGTTTGCTTCGATATTGATGCTAATGGTATTCTGAATGTCTCGGCCGAGGATAAAACGACTGGACAGAAGAACAAGAACACGATCATGAACGATAAGGGCCGTTTGTCGAAAGATGAAGAGTACAATAAGAAGGTTGAGGCGAAGAATGCGCTCAAGAATTACGCACACGATCAAGGACAAGAAGATTGATTCTAAGTTGTCGGAGGTTGATAAGAAGATGATTGAGGATGCTATCGAGGCAGCTATTATGTGGCTGGATTGGAACTAACTGGCAGAGGCTGATGAGTTTGAGGACAAGATGGAGGAGCTTGAGAGCATTTGCAACCCGATTATTGCTAAGATGTACCAGGGAGTGGGAGGTGAGGCCTCGCCCATAGATGACGAAGGCCCGGCTGAGCCCAAGATTGAGGAGGTATACTAAATTTGATGGCTCGAGATATAATGTTGTATTGTGGGAGTTGGGGATTATCTATTTTATNAATCAACACAGTTTTTCAAGCATCAAATAATAATTGAGTTGATAATTCTACCAATCAATATAAACAAAGTACAAAATAGTGCATGTACTTACTTCTCTAAGTCATGAATTTATGATGCTAATTTACCAATCTATATATATATATATATATCGTTATATATAAATGCTTGATTATTTTTTAGATAGTAATTATTTTCTTAAAAAAATTTATTTACTATTTCAAAAAATTAATTTAACAATTTATAGTATATTTCAAATAATCAATTAGGGAAATTGCAGCTCATTATTTAAGGAAATAATTAAGTCATAAAAAAATTCACTTATAAGATACCTTAGTTACTCAAATCATGTGAATTCGGTAGATTTACCCAAATATGGAAATTTTCGGATGCAATACCAATTATGTGATTTGCTAAAAAATTACAACTAAATTGTTTAATAGTATTTTATATTTTCCTATAATTCTTTTGTAAAATGTATTTTTAATAGACCTTAATTACGCCGATTGAATAAATCTGACTGATTTATTCAATCTACAAATAATTACTATAATTATGGAAATATCGACAACAATAATCAATTAAACGATTTAAAATAATGTTCTAAAAAGTTATATTAATGACAATTTTTATTTAGATATTATTTAATAAATGTTCTTCGTTTTTTGTGTATTTAATTAATCAAATCATGAATAATTAAGAAAATAATTACACCATAATAAGAATATAATATTAATTTTTTATTATAATTATTAAATTTTCTTTATTCACGATTATAATAGTAAGGCTGGATAAATAACCTTAAAATTGTTCACCCCGTGTATCGCACGGGCTCTGTACTAGTTTGGATTATGAGGTCTGGCAGATGGATGTCAAGACGGCTTTCCTTAACGGGAACCTTCAGGAAGACATCTAAATGCAGCAACCAGAGGGATTCATTGCTGACGGTCGTGAGCATCTAGTGTGTAAGCTTAATCGGTCTATTTATGGACTGAAGCAAGCTTCGAGATCTTGGAACATCTGTTTTGACAAGGTCCCAATGTCCGGATGAGCACTGTATTTACAAGAAAATCAGTGGGAGCGTGGTGGTGTTTCTTGTGCTTTACGTAGATGACATACTGCTTATTGAAAACAGTTAGAAGGAGTTATCAGACGTAAAGGTCTGGTTGTCTAAGCAGTTTGATATGAAGGACTTAGGTGAAACATGACACGTTCTTGGTATTAGGGTCATTCGAGATCGTAAGAAGAGAATGTTGTGCTTATCCCAATCTTCATAAATAGATACTGTCTTGGCAAGATTCAACATGCAGGATTCTAAGAAAGGTGTGTTACCTTTCAGACATGGAATACCTCTGTCTAAGGAGATGTCTCCTAAGACGTCTGAGGAGATGGATGACATGAAGACAGTTCCTTATGCTTCGACAGTAGGAAGTTTTATGTATGCGGTGAAACATATATTCAAGTACCTGAGAAGTACTAAGGAGTACATGTTAGTTTACCGTGCAGACAGCTTGTTACCTCTGGGTTACAGTGATTCCGGTTTCCAGTCAGATAGGGATGAAATTAAGTCAACCTCAGGTTATGTGTTTACCTTGAGAAGTGGAGCCATTTCATGGAGGATTTCTAAGCAAAAATGCGTGGCAGACTCCACCATGGAAGCTGAGTACATAGCAGCCTCAGAGGCAGCGAAAGAGGCAGTTTAGCTCAGGAACTTCTTAGTGGACTTAGAGGTGATTTCGAGTTTGCCATGAAATAGCACCGTGTACTGTGATAATAGTGGAGCAGTAGCAAACTCAAAGGAACCTCGAGCCCACAGAGCAAACAAACACATAGAGCGCAAATACCATCTGATTCGGGATATCATTGGTAGAGGAGACGTTGATGTTGCCAAGATTGCATCAGAAGACAACGTAGCTGATCCTTTCACTAAGGGTTTGCTGGGGAAGATATTCGTCAAACGCGTGGAAGGAATGGGAGTCAGGTACATGGCGATAGGATCGACAGAGGTCTTTTAGAATAACGGATTGATAGGACTATACTGTAAAAGCAAAAGCTTTAAGTATAAGTAGGAGATTGTTAGTGTTATATACTGAAAGCTTGGCTTTGTATGTTATTACTGAAGTTCGATACTTGTATATCAAGTACCCAGAAGATTCATGCAATTGCCGAAGCAATATGACTTAAAATTGAACCTTCAGGATAACGTCTCACTCTCCCTTCGGATCTCTTTCATTAATGCAAACAACACATACATTCTTCAAGTGTTTACAACATAGACTCCCTCTACACTTTACTTGAACAATGATTTGCACTACTATTTACACGACCACAAATCCCTTGTGGTTTTTCACGTTTGAATCCCTCAAACTACAACAAAATGAACCTCCGTTCACTTTGTATTTTCTCTCACAATCAACTTCTCACTTTCGATCTCTTCACTCAAAATAAAATAAAAATATCAAGCACTCCAAATCACACAAATTCGTAATATCAGAATTCCTCAAAAAAACAAAGATCAAAAGTCCTCCTCCCTAAGCGTCTCGCCATCCTTTTATCTTTAGTCTCGTATGGTAAGTCTCACACAAAGCTCTGCCACCAAGTCACTTTCACTTATGGTAGGTCTTCTTTTGGAAAGTCCAAGTCTGCGATTAGCATCTCGCAATTATGGAAGGTGAATCCCGATTGACTTTCATCACACCTACCATAATAAAAAATATATTATAATTAACTAATAAACTGATTAAATTAAACATTAGTCCAAGTAATAAAGTCAACTTCCCTTAAATATTCTTGAGTCGTCTGAACCTGAGAACTTATGAAGGTTCGTCGATTTACTGCCAATCTTCAGAACTTAAAATCTCCCCCTTTGGCAGATAACTCGAAAACACATCCTCTGAACCTGCATGCAAAAAGACATTTCCTGCAACATATACACTAACCCAAAGTATACTTATCACACCACAAACATGTTGTTCATTTGAACAACTTAACCACCTGAATATTTCAAAACATGAAAAAGACAGTTCACAGGTAAATAGATAATGACTATGGAACAACAAAAAACAAAGCAAAATAAAAGACAGTCTCCACGGCTGATTATAGTCTATCTTAATACATCACTTCAAGATACTTATTATATTAAAATTTTGACTTCAAATAGTAGAAACTTTATCATGTTGGCTTACTAATCTTCCACTAAATAAGACAAAGTTAACGTATTGATGGGTGATGAAAAAATATCTTCTTGCTAATTGAAAATGACTCCATTCTTTAAGAGTATAATCTTAGATTTTTTATTTTTATAAAAATGTTGACAAATCATCATTAATGCTCTCGGAGTTATCTCTCAAAATGGCCAGCATATATCGTCTTAAAGCTGATTGATAATACTTAATATTAATCTTGGAACATACTAAGAAACCAATAGTAATAAAATTTACATAGAGTAAAATATCTAGATAAATTATCTTTCTCAAATGATTAAATAAACACTAATGTCTAATTAATCCTTAAACTCGTCGATCATGAAAAATAATAAGGCAAACAGACACATATTTTCATCTAAGAACACATAATTCTCTTAGAAACCTTATCCGAACAACTCTAAAGTTCGAACATTACCGATTTCACTTGAAAGTCGAGTAAAGTGAATCGGTTATATTCATTAACTGAACGGGGCGTTACAATCTGTCCTCCTTAAAATATTTCCGTCCTCGGAAATACTAAACTAATGTTCAAAGTCTAGAACTCGAAACTATGTTATCTGGTTCTAGCTTTATCTTACTCTCGCTAGTGTTCGTGGCTTCAAGTCCCCAGTTAAATCCGGCTAATCGACTCTTATTTCAAGTCTCCATTATTTATCCGGCTTTCGACTATTATACACCGATAACACAAGTTCATGAACTAAGGGTCTCTTTCTGAATATAGTACAGGGCTGTTCTGGCATCAACCAGTCCATTTCTAAATAACGTATATGGCTGTTCCGCATCGATCGGTTCCTTTCTGGTATTAGCTTGCCATGGTGGCTTGCCAAGGTTTACTAGGTGCCTCAGAAAATCCAAGACAACTTAGAAACTATAACTCGGGAACTTCCAAAAGAAGGTCATCAATCTTTTCGGCGTTTGCCTGGCTATGTCGACACTTCTGAAATAAGAGAGACCGACTTCTCGGCTTTCTAACTAACTCACCCTTCTCCACAAGGTGGCCATAGGTACTATCTTACGGTTAACTCTGCCCTGACACGATACTCATCTTGGTTTCCCCACGTTTTCAAACTCGAGCATGACTTCTCCAACTTGAGACGTGGAGAAATCGCTAATCATTTCTCGGAAACTTTGGTGATAAAGCCCAAAATGTCAGGGTTAGTACATCGTCTCATCTAATGACCTGGATAATTAGGTTCTGGTTTTCTTACGTCTGTGAATCTCATGGTCACAATGCCGTTCACATTGGTCTGAAAGTCCTTCTGTTGCAGGCCTGTACACGAATTTCGTCGGTTTTGACAATCTATGGTACTTCGTCGATTTGCGCTCGAGTTCGCACAAGAACTTATTGTACTATACAAATGTCGGCCTTTAACTTTTCTAATGGAAAGGCATTCTCTCAATGTCTTCGCCCACTAAATGCGAACTTTAGAGCTTTTCTCGCACATCTTTTTCTGATTTACCATCGAGTTGAAGTACTGACTTCCATTGATTAACCCAAGTCACTAA